GGTGACGTCGGCGTCGGCGCGCAGGTGAGCACCGGGCGGACGGGGGCGACCCTCCGCGCCCCTTCCCGGACCCCTGGTGGCACCCGCCCGGCCCTTCGTTGGAACCTCAAACAGGACGCGCTCTGCCAGGGGGCCGGGCTCCCGCTCGGGCGCAGGGCGGGCCTGGGGTCGTGTGACCGCTCCTCCCTGCGTGGCGTGTCCCCTGGGATGACTTGTCGCCCTCCGCAGACCCAGAGGTGCCTGATCTAGACCTCCTGCTTCTCCAAAGGTGACTGGCTGGGATCCAGGCCAGCCGGGGTGGTTACCGCAGACCCTGGTTTGGAAAGAGCTAGACTTGGCTGCCTGGGGTCCCCAAATCGGGAGGGGAGAGAGGAATGAGGAGAGGGGGCTGCTGCATGTGCCCCCACTTCTCCCTTTCTGTGCGCTGAGGGAATGCGACTGCAGGGGATTAAAACTTGGGGCCTCTCAGGTGTGAATTTCAAAGCACGCTGAGGTCTGGGAATGCCAGGTGATAGGCAGGGGAGCCCAGGGACGGGGCTGAGAGGCAGGTAGGATGGCCCAGAACAGTGGCAGGACTGAGCCCAGAGAGGCTGCCCAGGCCTGGGTCAGTGCTGCTCCCTCACCCGGCTCACTCCATGTGGTTTTGTGTTTATTCTAAGGTATTTTCCTTGAGCCTGGCAGGGGAGTTACTCAAGGGTGTCTGAGAAGCCTGTCCCCCTGTGGCCCTGCTGCACGGGGATTCAGACCAAATTCTGGCTCCTTAGAACTCAGAAGACCCTCAGTTGCCAGGGAAACTTGTTTTGTGTACAGATAACATCTGGGCAGTTCCTTAGTAGAAATGAGAGACTGTGTCGTATTTGGCAGTTGTAAGGAAGCCCCCGAGCACCTCCCAAACACAGCTCACCCTGAGTGGGACGGCTGTGGAAGGTGATTCTGGGCCATCCAGGCGGGACCGAGGCAAACGGCCTTGTGCAGCTGCCCTGCACCTGCGGCCGCCGCGTGTGGGCTCAGTGGGCCGGGGCTGGCTCCTGTCCTCACAGGCATACCCTGGGAGGGGAGGGACAGTGCTTGAGGCCATCTTGTCAGCGTGTCTTTAAGTGTCCAGAATGCTGGGCTCAGCTGGAATCCAGGGTTCACAGTCCCCGCTCTATCCGTGTCCCAGAAATGTCTCAGGCAGACTCCTGCCAGCTGGGTACCTTCCTCTGTGAAATGCCAAGCAGAGGCTCCAGCCTCCCTCTGCAGAGGGTGGTGTGGCCAGACCTGTCCTGGGAGCTGTGCAGGGAGCCAGCCTCACCTTTGAGCTCAGTGGCCTCTGGCCCAAGAGGTCACCCTGGACAGTGTCCTTTGCCCTCTTCCTGTCAGGTAGGCTGCTGCAGGGGGACAAGGAGTGGGGGGACAGGCCAGAGCAGGGAGCCAAGCCAGGGGGGCTTCCTCCCTGGCCCCTCTCCCCGGGGCAGGCCTGCGGTGGCACCTTGGGTGGAGGGCAGAGTGGACCTGAGCCTTCAGGCCTGCTGGCCTGACCTCCCTACACTGTCCCCATGTGCTCCTGGGACAGCTTCAGCATGCCCTCATTCTGAAGAAGACCCTGGGGTTCTGAGGCACAAGGCAACCTCCGTGAGTGAGCACTGGGCTTTGTGTCTGTCAGGGTCCCCTGAGCTCTTACCCACCCGTGTGTGATTGCAGAGCGGGTGTCTGCATGGACAGGAGGTTGCGCTGTGAGTGGGGCGTGACTGACCTTGGGGCCACCACAGAACAAGACCTTGCCCCAAGCCCTGGCCTTGGCGGTGTCCCAGCTTCTAGGAGCTCACAGGCCCCTTGCCCGGCCCTCAGCCTCTGGTCAGAGCCCACGGTGTCTGGCATTTGAGAGAAGGGCTGGGCGGGGCCAGACCGGTGGTCTCCCGAGCATCAGAGCCAGAGCTCGAGCAGCAGAGCCAGAGATCGACTGGGACAAGCAGGGGGCTCCCCAGTCCTAGAGCCCCGAAGGGCGGGGCATCTCAGTTCACAGCCCTGGGCACCCTTAATGTGGCTGCAAGGCTGCAATCCCAAACCATCCCTGTCACCCACAGGCCGTGTGGGGCAGGGTGTGGCCCTTAGGCTTTGGTTTCTAACCTGTTCCCGGAGAGTCAGGCTTGGGAGCCCCCCCCAGGCCCTGACTCGGGCAGACCTGCCCCAAGCTTGCTTGAGCTTGGCTGCAGGGCCCCCTTCCTGGTCCCACCTCCCGTGCTATGCCAGCCTCCAAGGATCCGGTGGCAGCTGGCCACCTGGGGCCTGGCGTGTCCAACACAGAATGAACAGTCAAGGACAGAGTGTGCGGAGCCCCCAGTCTGCACCCCAGCAAGGCCACTCCCCAGGCCAACGCCAGCCTCCGCGTGGTCTCCTCACTCACCCAGCAGGGCGGGAGCTGACCTAGGGCATGGGAGGGCATCCTGGGGGCCTGAGGCCAGGAGGGCATGCACTCCTCTGGTCCCGTCGGCCCCTCCGGTGCCCTCCCACCTCCGTCTGTCTCTTAGGCCAGCTCATCCTAGGCTCGGAGCCTTCCCTCGAGTTGAGGATGGGCCGTTGTTTCCTCTTGTTTTGGGGTGAGTTACTCCATTCTCATACTTGGTATGGTTAAGACTATCATTTTCAGCCCAGAGTTAGCTCCAGTTGCAGGAGGGCGTGAGAGGGCGTATGTAGTAGGGGAACAGCGGTAAGGGACACCCTGTGCTGGACCCCAGAGCCCTGGGGCTGCAAAATCACATCTCTGGAGATCTGCGCAGCACAAGTCTCAAGGCTAACTCTTCGGGTCCCATCCTCCGTCTGTAGAGACGAGGAGATCTAGGATGGGTGTCCACACGGCATGTCGGAATACCCTGCCGACACCCTGTGCTGGACCCCAGAGCCCTGGGGCTGCAAAATCACATCTCTGGAGATCTGCGCAGCACAAGTCTCAAGGCTAACTCTTCGGGTCCCATCCTCCGTCTGTAGAGACGAGGAGATCTAGGATGGGTGTCCACACGGCATGTCGGACCCCCCTGCCGTTAGCAGGAGAGCTGGCCCAGCCTAGGGTCACTGAGTTTTTTTGCTCCCTTTATTTTAGTGTACTGATTTCTTCTTTGGGAGAGAAAGGGTGGGAGGGAGGGGAGAGAGTGAGACAGCCACCCCCAGGAGCCCTCAGGCCTGGTCGTGGGCCGGGAGGTTCCAGGGTGGAGACCAGGACCCTGTGTGGGCCTGGTCGCACCTCTGCCGTGCCCCTGTCCCCACTCCTCCCCTGCCTTCCCTAGAGTGTTTTGTTAACCTCAAGCCAGCCCGGTCCAGGATTCCTTCCGGGTGAGGTGAAGTTAGGTGGCTGTGGGAGCCCCTTGGCCCCACTTTGGGGTCCCACAGGGAGAATCAGGCTGCTGGCTCCCATGCGCATCACCAGGACCCTGGCAAATGTGGGGGTGGGACGAAGAGCACAGCAGGCCTGTCCCCCGAGTGTGCCATTGTCATGAGACATGCAAGGACAGGAGGACACGCAAGCCCATGCACTTGTGCAAGGGCATGTGTTTGCACGTGCTGCATGCACTCGTGCAGTCAGAGGTGGGGGTCTTCAGGAAAGGCCCTGAAGGGAAGGTGCTGTTAGTGCACAGGACATGGGAGCCTGTGCAGGGAGCAGCTGGCAGGGTGCAGTGGGGCGAGGCTGAGCTGTGGAGGGCCCTGTCCACGTGCTGTGCCCAGGAGCTGAGAGCAAGGGGAGGGCGTGACCAGGCAGGCCGCAGTGGCTGCGGCACACAGAGGAGACCAGGGGCCAGCCCAGAGCCACGCCGTTGGTCTGCTGGGGGCTGCGGAGGGGCATGGGCTTCAGCAGGGGTTGGCCGTGGACACGGAGCAACAGGGGGCACCCACACAAAACCCTCCTGGGACACTGAGACTTGGTGAGTCGCATGCAGAAGGAGCCGCGGGAGCAGAGAGGAGGGAGAGGACAGTGCAGGGTAGATGGCGCTCACAGCCGGGCGGGGGCGAGGAGGGCGCAGCGGCCTCTGCTGGAGCTGCTGAGCGGCGTCCTCCTCTGACTCAGTTGGGCCCCTTGGCTTTGGTAGTCTGCATGGGAGCAGCAGGGGTCTGCTGGCACCTGGGCAGTGTGACTGAGCCGTGCGGAATCTGGCACGGCTTCCGGAGGCCTTGGCAGCAATGCCGCGACGTTTCCCAGAGCCTGGCTGTTGGCAGCTCTCAGGGTGGCCAGGCCCTGCCTCAGGAGTGAGGCACTGAGGGCAGGGGCGGGGCTCCCAGGCCCCTCCTCCAGCCTTCCCCTCTTGCCTGCCCTCCCAGGTCAGCTCTGAGCAGAAGCAGGGGTGTAGACGCTGCGCATGGTGAGTGGCTCCTGGTTTGAACGGCCTGAGGTTGGGTATGTGGGGCCATGTGCAGGGAAGAGACGGGTCTCGAGGGTGCTGGAAGCAGCATGTCACAGCGGGGCATCAGGGTGAGCTGTCCTGGGAATCACAGAGGTCGTGGGGGAGGTGCCGAGGCCCTAGCTGTCCCTTCTCCAGCCCCCTTATTGTGGAGTATAGGACACGGGGCCTGGGGCGAGGCAGACCAGCTCAACCTGCCTGTCTCCCCGTTCTATGGGAGGGAGGGTCCCTGTCCCTGCGTGCCAGAGGAGCCCACAGCGGGACAGAGCTGCAGCGTGTCTGCTGTGTTGGCCGCGCTGGCTCTTTATAAACACCCACTGGCTCTTCTCTTTCAGAGAAACTGTTTCCTGGGAGGAAGGGGTCGGAAGGGAGGTGGAGAAGGGACAGCTGCTAAATGTCCTTACTGCACAGGGTCACTGGAGTGACCACGGGTGAAGCTGATCTTCCAGATTCCAGAGCTGAAGGCAGAGGGCTTCATACCGCCCACCTCTGGAAGCCCACTTTCGATTGTGCCAGGAGGCAGGTGTGCCCACGTGGACCTGGCCCACACCACAGTGGTGCCTCCTGCTGGCTCTGCGGCTGAGAAGACCCTTGGTCCCTGAACCTCAGGGCTGGCAGCCGGTGATGCCAGTAGATGCTGGCGTGCTGGCCTCCCCCGCCCAGGGAGGGCCTCTGGCCACGGGACAGCGTGTTGTTCCACCAGGCATTTAGTCAGACCTGGCTCCCTCTAAGCACGCTTTCCTGTGTGGAGGGCAGCTGTAAACCAGCCTTTGCACACCAAGGCCACAATGCCTGTGGGTCTGTGGTCAAGACCACTCCTTGGGCTCCTGAGTCACACGCGTGTCCAAAATCCAGGGATGTTTGGAAGTGAGTGAAGAAGGCACAGAAATGACTGCAGCTCTGGGCACTCTCCCGTGACCCTGGCGAGTGTGAGCGGCGGTTTCTGCGCTCCATGATATGGTGACGGCTGGACACACGCCTACAGGAGGCTCCTTCCTGCTTGGTGGGCCGTGTGATCCCACTGCTCTGCCAGATCCATTTCAGCACACGTTTGGGGTGAACCCGCCATGCCCGCACCAGCTTGTGTAGACACAGGGGCTTCAGAGATGAACCGAAAGACAGTTGTGGAGAGAGACATGGCCGTCAGGGTGGTGTGTCGGGCATACAGAGGGACCTGGCGCCACCTGGGCCCAGGCTGCAGCGTCCCAGTCGCCTCTGCCTCCCTGGGGCCCTCTGCCCTCCCGAGAGCCTAGGGAGCCGGGGCTGCACCTGAGGAGGGCTGGCTCCTCAAGGCCACTGCCCAGCAGCCTTTGTCCCGTGGCTTGTGGGCCTCAGGGGCAGAATCCCATGCTCTTTCTCTAAGATAGCATTCCCCCGCCCCACTATGGTGGATTTCCTGCCGATCCGACCAAATGCAGCTTGTCTCTCGAGTCCTGCGCCAGGGCTCAGGGCTGCCCTCAGGTGCGGCCGTCTGTGGACACTGGAGCCCTGAGGTCACCAGCAGCCCTCCTCTCCCTGCTCGGACCAGGGCGGCCTCTCCTCTCCGGCACACACAGCGGCCTTCCCTTCCTTCCGTTCTGCCACGTACATGGGTGCCTGACTTCTTTCTTTAAGAGACGTCTTTCAGCTCTGTTTGCAATAGAGGGTGCACAGGACAGAGGGGGCCCTCGCACGGTCTCGCCCTGCCGAGTCCCCTCTCCCTGGCTCTCTGGCTAGCCAGGTCCTGGGTGCGTTTCATGGGGTCAGCATCTGGGCCACGTGGTGCCCCCCACTGCAGTCCACTCCCCCAGCTGCGCTGCAGGCTGGCTGGATGCCTCTCTCAGGCCATTTTCATCTGGTTACCCCTCACCTGGAAGTGCACCCTCTTCCCAGGCTGGCCTCATCCTTCCTTCCC